ATTGTTGTTGCTGTCAAAAAATGAATCTGTTCCACAAACTAATGTCTGAGATACTTGGGTATTTGTAAAAAGAAAAAAAAAAAAAAGTGTGTGTGTATATCTATATAATTAATTGACCAAATACATTATTTCAGTCTTTACTTTAGGTGTGTGCGTCTGTATATGACTGTCCTTCTCCAGGGTTTTTAGAGCAGGGATTAATTTGTGATGATGGAGAAAGCTGTAGGAATTGMCCTTCTTTTTTGCTCTGTGTACTACACCAAATTTTCCTTATTGACATCTCCTTAGCCCTGCTCGACCTAGCATTGCTTGCAGGCTCCTGTGCACTCTGAATCTGCTTGGCCACCTCACATTGGGATTGATTAAGTCTTCCAGATCATAGTCAGTAGTCCTAAAGCATAGGAAAATACTCCACAAAGAAGTTAAAATATAATTTCTGTCTAGGAGTAATATTAGTTTTGACAAGGTCTAGSAATTTAGGTCAGACTTTCTTTTATGTTATAAATTAATCTCCCTTCTGATTTTTCTTTAATTAACGAGGAAAAAAACACTCTTGTAAGCAGGCAAGTTTTATTTGTGTTACAGGATTCTGTGTGTTTGTGTTCTGAGACTCTTCCTTTGCCAATAGTTTTCTAAATAATCTTGCTATTCAGATTTTCCTAGAGAKGAAAAAAGAAATATTTTTGCCAGTAACAGTGAAATTTGCTAGTARTCTATAATTTCAGCAAATTCAATGGGGGAAAAGAGACAAGTAGAGATGACCTCTAACTGGGAAAATTGTTGCCAATAGTCATTTGGTATCGAATGACAGAGAATCCAGATGAGAGTAAGTTTATAAATGCATCAATAAATGCATCAAATGTGAGAAAATTTTGTTCAGTGCCTGGAAAAATGTGAGCTCTAGACTTRGTCACTCTAAAACCCAAAAAGGCAGAGAACAGAGTTTCAACAGTGCCTCTGCTCTTGAAACTACTCTTTTATGCTTGGTGTTATGAGAATAATAGCAATAACTTTTAAAGACCTGCTTGTACACAAACTTTTAATTTTCCACATTCTGGATGACTTTGTAACAAAGAGGTAATAAATTAAAAAGCTGATGGAAGTTGCATCTCAAGTGTATTATCTGGTAGATGTAACTTACCTTGGGAGAATTTGTTAAAGGAAGAGAAATTAAAGGTAAAGAAAATTTGATAGGGGAAATGTGAAGCTACTTTCTTTCCTTGGGGAGGTTAAGAGGACAGTAGAATCCAAGGAATGCTTTCAGGGTGCGAGGGAATATTCAAGATAAGTATTTAGAAAGAAAGATTTTATTATTATTAAAAAAAAAAAAAAAAAAGTATTGTTGGAGTTCTTCCATTGTGGATTGTTTTTGGTTTGGAGATTTCTTGCCTTTCTACATCACAGCATAACAATGGCTTCCAGTTTTACGTCAGAGTTGAAGTCTGAGATTTTGGCTTTGTCCCTCAAGAGATTTGGTGAAAGTTTTTCACCATACAGATCTGAAAGTCTTTTTAGTGAAATGAGGWACTGACTTTCACAACTACTACCACAAGAAAAAATTTGGCTGAGCAAATTTTATAGTAAAAATGAATTTTGCAACAMGTGATTTTCATAATGCTCTTAAGATGCTTCTTTAAAGTCACAGTAACAGAGGAATGTTACTGTGACAAAGGCTATGAAAAAGTTTAATTGTGATTGTGATGACTCTTTAATGGGAGACATTATCAATTCCATTTTGTAAGTCTTTAGAAGTGCTGTTTGTGACTTTTTTGCAAGTAGTTCTGACAAGCAACCTTTGTCAAGAATACTTCCAGTTATTTAGGGCGGATATCCTAAATACCTCCCTCTATCTCATGCTATTTATTGAGTTTCATATGAATTTACCATGAAATGCATGTGTGTGTATATGAAAATGTATAAGCAAATTATCTGCTTTTCCAAAGAAGTAACTGTTGTATTTTTGGTGTTTTTTATCTTTCTGGAGAGAGAGTGCTTTGTTAATCTTAAAGAAATATGTTACCTAAAATGCATAAGCATTGAAGAACCAAATTTCTGGAYTGATTTCTGGGTTTTAAGTGTCATCCTAATGCATTCGTTATAAAAATCTTACTGGTGTTTCTTGAAAACCCAGCTGTCTGTCTCAGACTTCTAAACATGCAAAATCTGTCTCCAAATATTCTATTAATGTTTGTATCTTATGAGAAATAAAGAAGCATAATACCTCTCCCTGTGCTCACTAAAAATTGAGTGTCCTTTTGTTTTGCTTTTTGGTTGTTTCTTACTGTTCACATTTAAGGTGATAGATGAAAATACAGGAGTACCTTTCCACTCAAATGAGATTTCACCTTCTGTGTGTACTAGTACAGAAAACTGTTTGCAGTACATCTGAGATGTGTCCATCAAAAGCTAGGACAAAAATCCACATCTTTAATATTGGCCAYGATCTGATAGCAATGGTTAGAATCCTCATTTGGAAAATGTGAAATTTGGTTCTTAAGCAGTGTGTGTGTATTCTTTGTGTGTGTACTTTATAAGTGATTTATTTTAAAAATTATCAGAAGATACTGAGAAATGTGTTCTTCAGATGGAGAACTTTTATTTAGGTATGTATTTATTTTGATAATGGAAAGAAAGTTGAACTCATTTCTAGTTGGCTGAATTTGCAGATGAGGCTGGCGAGAGTGTAATTAGTGTTTGTCATGGGTGTCTAATTTGTTGAAGTTTGTGGGAATGCTGATGTTCCCAGAAAATTGAGCTAAATTGACCATTAAATAAATAGTAGTACCTGTTCCTATGAGCTGTAGCTTAGRAATTAATGTTATGTAAAAACAGGTAATTATCAACGGGGAATGTGAATACTTTCTACTTYCAGTAAAATGTGAATTTCTAAAGTGTTAGAAATACGCAGTTACAAATTCAAGGCAAAAAAAGGGAAGCTGGACAGTAAACTTTCATGTACTTGCTGTCACAGTAACTATACTACTCATCCTGTTTGCAAAAATCCAGCTATGTGGTGGGAAAATCAGACTTGCTGCTTGGCTGAAATTAGGGAGTGCAAGRTTTACTTACTTCCAGTAAGAAACTAAATCATAATACACATGTTTTCATTTGAAGCAGCTGTAGTTTTGCTTTGTTTTAATCTGCACTTAAGACAAGTGTATTGACACTTGAAATTCAAGGCTGCTTTAGGCTGGTGTCTTGGGAACCAAACAGTGTCACACGAGTTTTGGCCGCAGATCAGACCCAAGGTCAGGTTGCTGATTCTCCGAAACTATTCTGGAAAATACATTCTTTGTATTGTCTAATGTTTCTCTTTACTAGCACGAACTAGGATGGTAACAAGGGGTCTTTATAGCTCAGTCTTGCATTGAATGCTTACAGTATTTTGAAAAGGTTTTTCCTCCCCATCTCCCCACACTATGTGAGTCTGGCTTCTGTCAGACACATGCCATCATCCAGTGCTGTAAATAAGGTGGTTTCCTCACAAGGTAATAAATGCACAGTCATTTTGAGAATGACTATATCTTAGAAGGTTAGCAGGAAATATTCCTATATCTAGGATCATTTGAGTGAAAACAGAGGGATGAAGGGGATGATTTGGATCTTTTTTTGGAAGAGCTTTCCCTAGAGGTCAATCCAATTAAGCAGCCTTTGTACTATTGGTGGTTAAATTGAAATACGATCCTTTCTCCTAAGCAAGTAGATGTAACCACTGTGCTGGATGACTGTGTTCTTATATCCATAATTGCAAACCTGGGTTAGTTTTAGCTAGTGACATAGAATGTATGAATATAGATAAGTTAGATAAATTGTCATCAATTTTAAAAGATTTTTAAACTGAGTCATTGTCTCTAGTAAGAGTGTGAAGTGTGGGATGATGGAAATACATATGCAAATAATGGATTTATTAATTAAGATATATTAGTTGCATGAAGACGRCAATAAAGCGTATGGCTAGCTGAGACACAACAGTTCATAACAGTATTTACCCCTATAAGAAGGCTTCTGAGTCTGGAGAAATAGCTGTATTGGTAGAGCTTAAAGATGATCGGGAATTTGGTGGAGGAGGAAGCTGATTTAAAAGGGCTATTAAATAATGTCTGGATATTTAATATTCTGTCATATGTGTAGTCAACCATTTTAATACCTCACTTTAAGAATATTAGTTGAAAAAATATATTGYATAGAAATTACTGTTGCAGAAGACTTCCAAAATTAGTTTGTTACACAGAATCACAGAMTGGTTGTGGTTGGAAGGGACCTCTAGAGCTCATCCAGTCCAACCCCCTGCTCCAGCAGGGACATCCAGAGCACGGGGCACAGGGCGGCATCCAGGCGGGTTGGGAAGATCTCCAGAGAAGGAGACTCCACAGCCTCCCTGGGCAGCCTGTGCCAGGGCTCTGGCACCCTCACAGGAAAGAAGTTTTTCCACATATGGAGATGGAACTGCCTGTGTTGCCACTTGTACCCATTGCCCCTTGTCCTGTCACTGGCCACCACTGAGAAGAGTTTGGCCCCATCTTCTAGATTGTTATTCAAAACCAATCAGTGATCTGTCTTCCAGATGCTCATTTCTGTCTTTCATCTCTTCCGTGGATGGAATTAGAAATATGGGCTGTTCCCTGTGAGTGGAGTTTATAATTTTTAGTATTTTTTAACTCCTTGTAGAAGAGCATGTGTAATTACACAGTCCTGTACAGCACGTGTGTTTATTGCACCATTGCAACCCAAGTAGGGTTGTTAGTGCCACATTAGTGACAGGATCTAGGGCGAAAACAACTTAGATTGCACTGATGTTATCCTGTGTAGTGCTGCTCATTTCTAAGTATATCTACTGAACTACTAGTAACCAAGAAATTTGAGAAGGCAATTGAACAGCATCACATCTAGCTGGATTCTTGCCTTCTTGGGCCAAGAAATAGTATTAAAAGGAATTCTAAAACTGTTACTGAAATATAAATCTATGATGGCATAATGATAACAGTCTTTCTTTTTAATAGGTCCTGGAAAATATTAACAGCACCAATGAATGGGTTGACCCTAGCTCTSAGCTCCAGATGACTTGCCCTGTAGTTCAGAAGGGTATGTATGCTTCCATTACGAAACTGTTGGCAAAATCTTGCAACAATTTTTAGAATATGTTCTTGTAGCTTTTTTTAACCTTGGCAGCCGCTCTCAAGAGTGACTGACCCAGATAATCTGTAATTTAGTGATTTATTCCTGATCTATTGTTACTTCACAGCAATGGTAAGATGTAATGTCAAATACCTCCTTGCAGCTTTGAGAATACAGTAAACTAATGAGGCAAAAGCCTTTGTGCCGTTGAAAAAGGCCACTGAAAACCTGGCTCGTATGCACAAGCCTCACGCTTGTGCCCACCATGGCCCCTTCAGGCTCATCTCACAAGACCTACGGGGCAGGAGGATTTCACCACCATGTGTGGCTCTACGCTGTCTGCGTAGCTACCAAGTGATGAAGGAAGTTGCAAGAAAGAGCAACCTGAGCCTTCATGTTGAGGTGATACTGTCCTTTTAGTTTGCTTGGATAATCCCTGTCCAAGGACCTCCTTGTGAGTGCTGGTGTTGCCCTGCARGCGTGTAAGGTGCTGGCAGTGGTTCGGGAGAGGGGGAGGGTAATTTTCATCAYTTACGTATTTTTTTTTTATGTCAGGTGTAGAATCAGTGCTCATAGCAATAATCTTTCGCTTTTAAGTAAAGAAATAGTGAAGCTGGAGGTGTAGTTCCTTGTGAATGTGGCAGTGGCCTGCACAAGSCTGGGGTATTGGTGCTGATGGGATCAGTTGATGGGACTACGGGTTGGTCCCCAAAGTACTGTTGATATGTGATGCAGAAGAGGATAAACATACAGGAGCAGGAATTACCGAAAGCAAAGGTTGTGTATGTGCCTGAAGATAGGCTACTTGCTCAAAAAAAAAAAAAAAAAAAGGTAAGATATTATAAAAGAGATAATGGCTGATTTAGCAATGAATTCACAGAGCCAGATAGTTGAATTTTGGGGACAATGGGAGAATAGGACATGTCAAAGCAGTTTCAAATTGTCCATATGTAGGGAGAAACAGGCTACTTTGGTAATAATAAAATACTACTTCAGCTTTTCTAGACTTTGTTTTAACAGAGAGACCTTAAAAAGAACAAAATTAAGGATAACTTCATTGGAAGAGCAGCAACATGAAGTGTGACTGATCTTGGTTGCTTGCTGACCTCTGCAGTGTCCAAATTTAGCAAAAACATGGCTAATGATTTGTACATTCTGCAYACCTATTTTTCTAAATTAAATACCTTGTTTGTAACCTAAGCTTGTGTTGTTAGATGTCGTCTGTTACTGAAAATGGAGATGCTTCTGCCCGAAAGACAAATGAAGAGAAAACATATAAAAAGGTAAGACCTGTTAACTTTTCTTTACACCTTTTTCCCTTAATTCAAATATACTGCAAGTGAAATGTACTTCAGAAACAACTAATACAGAAATGAACAAAAGATGTGCTATGATTTAACTGAAAGTATTTTTTTTTCCTGTGAAATCATAAGACATTTCTACATGGCCAGCTAATAGAAAACTAGCTTACATACAACATCTTTAAAATATGCACCCTTGCTACATGTGGAAAATGATGATTTTCTAGCAATTGAGATTTCTCTGGGCGTAAAATCATCAGTGCCAAAGTGTCATCACTTTGTCAAATATGCACCTACTCTGTGTGGTTTTTTAACATTAATAAAATTCAAATAATATTTGTTATTGCTCAGATATCCACATTCTTCTACTGTATATGACAGGTTTCTGAGTATTGTCTACAGTGCAGCTGGTTAAGTCAAGGAGTTAAGTCAATAAATTACTACTTTTCCAACCCCTTTTGTTGACAGCCACATTGTCAACATTTTTGTTGCCTTGAAGTTTCAGCTGCTTTTCTCAGAACTGAGTTTGAATTATTGAAGTCAGGCTTGTTCTTGAAATATGGTACCAGCAAGGAACAAAGCTCAGTGTCTGGAGGAGACACATRTGCAGCTTTAATTTCTAGACTAGATGAGACAAACCTGGGTAGTCCCTCACCATATGAGCTTCCTTCCTGGTTCCTGTTTTACTGCTAAATTCACAATATTCCAGGAGAAGCCTTGTAAATTGTAAGCACTGTGGCACCAGTTCTCCTGTTTCTTTACTGGAAATGCATCTCTGACAAAGCCTACCAATTGCAGCCAGCAAATTCTGTGCTTTCCCCTGAGTTTTTGGCTTTCTGCTCTTGTATCTTATGTTAGTGGATTGGATTCCTTTTCACATGCTGAATCATATTCCCCCAGTGTATTCCATGTGAGATCCTGTATAGGAGATCCTCCAGAGCATAGCGTTACCAGCAAATTTTGTTAGTTACCTCCTTCTTTTTCTATGAATGTTCTTAATAAAAAAAAAAAAATCCATTTTGGTCCCATGATTTACTGATGAAGAGCTTTACTTTGCCCAATATTTTCCACTTTAACAAGGTATCTTCTTTGAAGCTAGGCTCCTTACATACCTTGCAGTTTCTCTTGATTCACACCCTCTCTAGATTTCTCGGGTAACGCCATTTCACATTTTTTACCAGACTCCAGACAGTCCAGCYGCATTTGTCTAGAAGGTTGGTTATGAGGTGAACTGTCATGACCAGTGTTTAACAGAAACGCCTTGTACCACCTCCCATTTAATTCCTGCTTTTGGTAACTTTCCTACAAGAACTTGCTTGTGAACAAGAGTTCACAGCTAAGATCAGACCCATCCATCTATCTCGTGTTGCTCGTGACCCTGTTTGACGCAGGGAGTTGCATTTACACAGGCATTGCATTTACGTTTCCCCAGTCGTGTATTATTGCCCGTCAGTGCTGGAGGACGTGTGCAGGTCTGTTTTGTGAGTTCCTGTACCGCTTCCTCGAGTTGTTCCCCCAGCTGATGCTTGCTCAGCTCCTGGGGCTATTCCTGTTCCCATTCCACCATGTCCTTGATCCCRTTGGAAACATTTAGGCAAGGTACTCAAGGAGTACAGCAGCTGATCAGTCCTTTCTAGCCTACCTTTGTAGCTTGGAGGGCTTGCTTCTCTTTCTTCTTTATGCAAAATAAAGATGAAGAARCTTGTGCTGTTCATGTTGCAGCAGGGCTCTTCCTTTTCTCAGAGAGCAGGTCCCCCAAAGGGGGGGCCTCTTTAGCCTTTTCGTCTCAGCATCTGCAAAGGAGCTTCCCAACTAGGAGTCTGAAGTAGCTTTGTGTCAAGAATTGTATGATATTCAGGTGCTTGCTGGAATGTCTATAATGCCAAAATGAAATAAAATTTCTAGGATAAGTAAGGCACAGGTAGTGACCTGCTGAAGGGTACTTTTCCTCATGCCTGAGGAAAAAATACCAAGACATTCCTCAAATTCTGATTTGAAAACAAAATAATAGCTTGTGTCTCAAAGAATTTTGCATTTTGCCTGATTATATGCTTTGTCCAGTCATCTTGTAGRGGTTATGTTTGTTCAGTATTAGTCATATGTATAAAGTACATGCAAAAGGRGAAAGTGATGCGTGGAAAATATTTATGTGATGTAAGATCCGACGAACCATAAGGCAAAATGAAGAGATATAAATGTCCTGGCTTTATAAGCATTTTCCATGTGTCAGATCTTACAGATTTCATGTGTCAGAAATAATCAGTGTATGTTAAATAATATGCTGTAGTTGCTTGATCTGAAAATGTAAATATCCCTTATTAAGAACGGTGAACATTAAGGGAAACCTGGAGGAATATTACAGAAATAGTTGMATTACTCAATACTGTTGTTTAGATCTACTTTATGTAAGTATGAAAAACAAGTATTTTCACCAGAGAAAAAGGTTGTTTTATGGAGTGTAAACAAAACTGCTTACCTTAGTGCAATGCAATCTGTCCCATTGACATAGAGATAAATAATGGTTTGCTGAGACCCATTTTCATCAGAGAACAAATGATTTCTGATGGCTGTTTGAGGAAAGACATTCTTCCGCTGAGGCATGCAGGAAAACTTCACATTTTTTCTCTCCTGGATCTTTCCTCCTGCTCATTTCTGAGGACCCTGGAGCAGACGCTGCAGGCATATCTTTGAGTGGCAGCTGAGCTGGCATAGTTGAGGTGCAAGGGGCAGGCTGTGCACTTGCAGCAATTGAGTACCATTCTGCTAGATTCAACAGCAGAAAGATGAGGGAGAGGCAAAGACCTCAATCCACTCCATTTTCTGTTGTTTCTTCCTCATTTTCTAATTCTGTGCTTTGCATTCTTTCTATTTGAACAGTTGAAGTGTGCTCTACTGAAAGTGATATTCTCATCTAGTGCCCCTCATCTCTGGAGACTGGCTAGTGAGGATAAGTTAATTTGCAGCTGTGTGTCAAGAAGAGGGATTTGTAAGGTTGCTGCTGAAAATGTGTGCTCCTCAAGATGTGGTTTCCTTCCAGACGTCCTTTCTGTGTGTATGCTCCATTGTACTTTGGCCAGCTGTAATTCTTTACGACATAGTTTGGCCTTGACAGAGCTAGCAGAGGGATCACAACTTACCTGTGCATCATGCAGGAAAAGGAATTTTGTTTGCAATGGAAACATTTTTCCTCAGACCTATGGTATTTTTGTTCTGTGTTAGCAGTAGTATATGCCAAACAAACATTGAATTTATGTAGACAAGTAGAAAGGAGCTTTTCTTCACAGGACTATCTCAAACTTCATCCAGGGTAGGACTTCCTGGAATAGTAAGTTTTCTATAAGTCTATTAGTTACATTCCTGGACTTATTTTTTCAAGTATTTTCTTTATGTTTTTGTTCTATGAATAATTTTTTTCAATATTCATGTTTTGGTCCAATTTCATGGCAGGGGAAAATCAGACTTGCCACTTGCTTAAATGTTGAATGCTTGGAAGCTACAAGAAAATATCTTGGATTGCAAAAAGTTTGTGAGATGCCTTATGCAAGCATTCCTAGAACATCCTCAGATACTGTACACTTTTTGAAATGCATAGCTAAACCAGGGCAATGGCACATTTTCTGTATTGAATCATTTTTATCAATTTAACTGTAATATTTTGTTATTTTTTTTTCTTGCCACTGCAATCTGACACAAGTGTCCTTGAGAAGTGTTGGAATACAACTTTCTGTGACATTTTTACATTAGTAAACAAAAGCTTTTCCTTGAATATTTTCACTCTAAAATGGTGTTTTTGAGGGTGAGTCTATAGGACTCTTCAGAGCAGTCATTCACTACAAGCATTTTAATATCTGACCCCAGCTATTTCTCTTAATATCTATAAATTTCATGAAGTTTCTGAATTTCCAAGGAGTGTGGATACCATCTGAAAATTTTCAATCAAAAATCTAATCAAAAATTTTGGCTAATAGAGCCAGAATTTTATAAAATGCTCCATTGCTATATATCTAGGTATAAGGAATATCAAAGAGATCTGAACTCCTGCAAACTGTGGCCAGCTTTTGAGGATGGTTGTTTTTGTTATTGTTTTTTCCCCAAAGAAATAAGGAAAACAGAGAGGCTCCAGGTTCTTGCTCCATTTCATGTTTGAAATCCTAAGCAAAGGACCAAAGGGCAACAAAAGGAGTCACAAGACTGACTTGAATATCCATCACAATCTTGTCCCTGTTGAATCTTGAGGGTACAATAGCCACTTCATTTAATATCCAGCCAATATTTTGCAGCCTTTTTTTAATGAGAATCATTATAGTTGCTCCTGACTTCAATTAGTATATGCGAATTTTGCACTGTGATGTCCTCAGACTGCATTGTAATCCTAGTTCTGCCTACTGGTAAGCCAAACTTAAGGAGGATCCTGGCAATTAATACCAGGATGGTGGCAAGCCTGAGGCACAGACAAGTCTGCAGGCCACATTAAGCAAGTAGAAGAGAATCACACCAGAAAACAAGGCAGATACACGTTGTGGTTGTGTTGAGGAAATCTGATGCTGGATTATCAAGATCTTTGCTTGTAGATTGAAGGCAGCCGTGTATATATGCAATTAGGCTGTGTTGCTTTCTTAGATAGCCTACGGTGATTCTGCTTAGCATACAACGAGTGCTTTACATAACCTACTCAAAATTGCATGTTGTGTGAGTCACTTTGCCCTGCAGCAAATGGAACTTACCTGGATAGGGGAAATGAGATACCTGCTGCTAAATGTAAACGTTTATGGGCAGTACTGCTACATCACTGTGTTGGCTTTTCCCCTGGGTCTAATATCTGCAAGAAGGATGCTTAATCTCACAGATTTAGAAATCTCCCTGTTGGAGTTTGTGCTCCACTGGGACCTGCTTTCAATGGCAAACTTTCAGTGACACTGAAGTTATTGGCTCTTACAGTTTTACTTGGAGCAATGGCTACTGCCAAACTTACAGAAATCAGT